ATGACGGGGAAACAACTTTATGATTCGGGAAAAAAATAACACGGAAAATGCAATGAATTTCGCGGCTCATGGAAAGCCCGTGGTCATATGAAGAGAATTTTCCAATAAATATAGTTTATTCGATACACCATCGCGAGTTGAAGTATCTTGCTAATGCGAGAACTACGCGAGAAGATTAAACCGTATGGCGCCGTGAATACATGACAGTGGCGCGCAGACCATTGCGGCAGTTGAAACGGAGAGGCAAGGGGGGGTCTTACTGTTATGAGAATGGCCGGGAGGGAAGATTGGATGGAGGAGAGGACGAAAGAAAGCCAGGGGACGGCCGGGAATTGAACCCGGTCCTCCTGATTACCGGTCAAGTGTGCTTCCGTTACACCACCGAACCCAGGGCATTCCCATTCTCACTGACATCCTCATCATGACATTACTAAGCATAGAAGCCAGAAAATTTGGCAACCCTACAGGAAGAACGATTCAATAGGGGGCCGATAAGGGGTCGCTCTCGCTTTGAACAGGAAGAGACTCACCAACACACAGCAAAGGCTTTAAGACCAATAATTTGTTTCCAATAGGAAGGCCTCCACTGCCCTCCCAGAAATCAGTGAGGATAGCATGGGTTGTTTTCGCGCTCGACAGAGAGCGATAGCGATCTCATCAGGATGGATGGTGAAAGCTTTCTGGGACAACACAGCAGTCGCTTTCTCAGGGCGGGGAGGCATCTGGCGAGTACGGCGAACTTGTGGCAACAAGAGGGTTATATAAGCAGAGGAATACGAACAGAGTAACGACATTTACAACGACTACGTAATTTACCACGCCAAACACAGTAGCGAATAACAGATTGCTGGTTTGCTTGAAGGAAGTCTTCCATGACGAATTGCGCACAACAATGCGTCACCTCGTACATGCAGCTGCGCAATGTCGACCCCTTATAGCGTCATCCTTCTTTATAAGGTTGCTAATCTAGTCATATTGGGCGACAGTGAGTGTACCGATGGGAACGAAGCGGGCCGAAGAGAAAAAAGAGGAATGGAGAGAGATCGAACGCCTTCGTGCCCATCCAGAGAACTATTGCCTGTCGTTCCACCTGCTCTTGCAATGGAACGGCTCACTGACGTCATCACACGCCCTCGAACTCGCAGGGATGACACTCTAGGCCTGGGAGGTTCCCCTCTCAAATAGGACCACTGTGTATATGAGATGTTGCCTCAGTAATTTTTTAAATATACAAACTCTAATCGATCTTGTGGCAAAGGAGCAGGACATATTTTTGACAATTATCAAATTTATTTGAGAAAAATTCCAAAAATGGAAAACTTTCATATAATTCTAAAGCCTTAAATATTTCCGTTGAAAGAGTGGTGTACAGTAGCTTCAGGTTTCCTAGAGTCCGAATTTCGACGAAATTCTTCGCTGCTTAAACCGGTAGTTGACAAAGCATATAAAGTTTCGTTCGTGGAGTCAATGCTTGTAGAACGTTTTGGCACTGAGAAATTTCAGATAGAATATGAAAAGACAAGCGAGCGCATTCACGTGGGGTTGCCAGAAGACAGATGTGATAGCTTGCAAAAGTCACGCAGAACTTATATACCTGAGCGCACATGTCGGGGGACGATGCAAAAATGGGATCACATTCCCATGCATCCGGGTTCCCCCGCGAGGATCGAGGGAACACGGATGTTGGGAGAGCTATAAGGCAGGCCTATGATCGAGTTCGTTCAGTCGTCGTCCTTACATCCAGTCAGGTCAGTTCCATTTCGAATCGGATTTTCTCTCCTTGTTTAGGTTCAGCACGGTTGGTTTTTTTTTCCCAAGGACTTCAAATCAGAAGCGAAAAGATGGAACTGCACTAAAACGAGGAGAGCCGAAAGAAAAGGTAGTACCAGCTCTTTGTTCCATTTGTGTAAAGGTGAGCTTTGTACTACGGCTTTTACATTTTAGGTCCCTTACGTAACTCGTAAATAAAAGCTTGACCAGCGATGGTGAGTGGGAGGGTTTTCATCTGCTACTACGGGAGCTGGGCTGTTTACCGGCCTGGAGATGGGAAATTCGACGTTGAGCAGATCGACCCGACTCTCTGCACTCACCTCGTCTATGCATTTGCCGGGGTCGGCCAAGATAACAAAATCAAGGTGCTCGATCCATGGAATGAAATCGTCGACTCGTCTGGCTCCGGGAAAGGTAATCACCAGTTGCGTAACACGATTACTATCAATCGAGGAAAATTTTTTAGGAGAAATGTGTACGTAATATAGATTTTTTTAAATGAAGATGTGCAAATATCAGGTTCAGTTCATGCAAACCGCTTTCAAGTGGGCCTCATCTTGCAACAGCACCTATTAAACGCTGTTACATTGAGTTTTTTTTGCTTATTACAGATGCATTCCGACGATTCAACGCTCTGAAGAGCAAGAGCCCGGGACTTAAAACTCTCTTGGCCGTCGGAGGATGGAATGCAGGATCAACCAGCTTTTCCCAGGTATCTACGCTATTATTAATTAATAAATAAGATCTTCTGTAGGATACACTCTGCAAAAAAACATGGCCCAGTTATAATAACGAAGGGAAAATCTTTACATTGGGCATTTTTCCGGGACCAACTAGCCGACACGTGAAAACATTTTGATTTAAGATGAAATATCTCTTAGCGGACATTGATGCATCTTTTGAAAGAATTGACAGATTTTCAAAAAGTGCCAGCCAACAGCTCGATGTTCCGTCACGCTGGTGAAAAAAAAAATTCGCTATAAATCATTCGAAAGTCGTGAGGTCTCATGAGATCTCACGACTTTCTCATGAGGTTGTCCGAATATCTCATGAGGAGATCCTCATGAGGTAATCCTCATGAGGCCTTTGTTCGGAAACCTCTTGAGGTTTTTTCTGCAGAGCACAACCGACGAGAGATGGCGACTATATGATCTCACTGAAGTATCTCTCCTGTACTCTCAAAGTTGGATGCATATTTTTATTTTTACATAGAACATATTCAAATGTATTCAATTTTCTAATAACACTTGTCCGAAGCGATTGCCAAGTTCAGTGAGACTCCAGAC